TGTTGTTTTTAAAGGCAGCCTCAGGAAATAAACCTCCTGAAGACCTCGCACACGCCAACTCCCAAGGACCTGCCTGGGGTTTCTCTTGCAGCAAATGGGATCTTTAACAGCGTCGCCTTTATGAGGGATCCCTCATCCCCCCTCCTCCTCCCTCTCTCCCTCCACTTGCTACAGGGCCTCACTGGAGGGCGAGCGAGAAGATACARGGGCAGGTGACACTGGGCCCAGTTGCCACAGCTGGTGGGAGAGGGGAACCRGGAGCGCCCCGCGGCAGCAGCCGGCGCCACGGCAATGTCCTCGCTTTGTCCTGCGCCACAGGATGCGCCAGGAGCCACCCGGATCCACACAGCTCTTCAGGCCCCAGACACCTCCCCGGTGAAGCCCGTTAAACATGCAAATCCTGCTAATCCCGCACAGAACAGGATGCGGGAGCAGGAAGTGGGGAGGCTCCTGGGGCTGTGGGAAGCACTTTCCTCCGGGAGGGAGAGGGGCCGGGCAGCCCGTGCGACACCCACCTCCTTGCAGAGCCTGCGCGCCCGCCCCGGCCGTGTCCCCAAACCCCAGGGCAGGGGCCTAAGCAAGGAGCCACCAGCTGATCCTGCCGCATGGCAGGCAAGGGGGAGGCAGAGCCRTTAAATGTCCGGTTTAACCGACGGAAAACAACAACGGAGCCTTTGTCCTAACCGGGGGCATGGGGAAGCCACTTGGCAGGACTCGGCAGCGCGAGGAGCCGAGGCAGCTGGGGGCAYTGACACGTGTTTGGGATCCGGGAAGGCATTGGATAAGGAAGATGCTCCCTACACTGGTGTTTCTGGAAGCTCCCCTTCCGAAAGAAAAATCCCAGAAACCTGGATACATCTGACGCTATTTTACACTGAAGGGTTTCTGCTTAAGAGCAGAAACAAGGCAAGAGTTCAAACCGGGCAAGGGGCCTGTCCCGTGCCACAAGCCACGCGCTGCAGAGCCACCAGCAGCGCTCCGACCGAATGGCCGGGCCRGGCACCCAACAGCTGCAGCACCCGTTTACCCTGCCGTGAAGGCAGTGCTGCAAAGATACTCGCGTTGCTACTGGGATCTTCCCAGAACACTCTGGATCAAACTTGAGAACACCACTTGGAGACACAAGGCCAATGGAGGAAAGAGCTGCCGCTATCATGGATCACTACCAAGGAGAAAAAAGCAGGATGTCCCTTCCACATCAACCCACTCACCACTCGGTCATGCTCTGCTCTCAGCATRGGCACATCTAGCAGCATCTAGTGAGGCCAATAAAGTATTCTTGGGAGGATTTCAGGGGAGGTTGGAAAAGCACAGGCAAAGGGCTCTCCATCTGCACGGCCTGCTTCTTCAGGAGTTAGGCAGCTAGCACTGTGCTGTTCATCAGTGACACAAACAACTCAAACAGTGTAAGAGGAAATTGCACTCCACCACACTGTGCAAATCTCATAGGAAAATAACCTGGATGCAGGGAAAAAAAAACCACACAAGTTGCACACACTTAAAGTACACTTAAGTTAGCTCTAGGCCTGCTTTAACAGGGACTTCCAACACTGAAGAAAGCAGAGCTAGGTACTGGGAAAAGTTACAGCTCTGTACAAGAAGATACACCAGGGGCAACACGGCCAGCCATGAGCTCCAGAAGATGAGGCAGACACCAGCACCTCAGACACAACCCCCAGCAGGAACATCCAGATAGTCTTTAAGTAGAAGCAAACCTGGCCTGTCCTCCAGCATCCTGAGGAAAGCCARCTGGTGGGATGCTCCTGGACCAGCAGCACCACACTCGTGTAGCAGGCACGAGGCCCCGAGCCTCACAGCACCGATGGGAGGGCAGCTCCTGCCCACGCACCGAGCCACTGTGAGCCCAGAGACTCCCCGGGGTGGTTTGGGGTCACACTAGTGCTCCCCGAGGCCGATGTGGGCCCTGTCAGCCCTGCAGTCAGCCCAGCTTCCACCCCCTCTAGCACTAGCTGCAGGGCTCTCTCTCAGAGAGCTTGCCAGCTTGGTGGTTCAAGGGGGAAAAAAGGAGGGGGAAAAAGAGCCCTCATCCTATTAAGTGTAGCCCAGCAACCAAAAGGCTCTGAAAGATAGGAAGCTTGTCTCAGCATGAGCAAACAGCAAGGCTTTAAGCATGCACCATTTGTACCATAAAAGCTCCTCAAAGCCCCAGTCCCGGGCGAGGAGCACACCTTGTTAGGCACCAAACAAAGACTGAGCAAACCCTCGTTTTGTAAATACCTTGACTTGACCTCGCTGCCAGGCACAAGCAAGTGCTTTAGAGGAAGAAAACACTGTAGCTCTCACAGCAAACACCTAGAGCTCAGCCACGCTCCACAGGACACTTCTGTCATCAAGATGCTTGCTACGGCACACAGCACTACAGCACCTAACGCTCTACCACACTCACCAAACACATGCCACGCAGCTCCAGCAAAAAGGAGGATCCACAGTCCACATGGTGCACATCCCGAGCAGAGAATCCCTGGGCTTAAAGTCACAAGTCTTCCAGCAAGCCCCCAAGAAGATCCATGCCACCTCCAACCAGCAGCAACAAGAGCAGCTCCATGGACTGCTCTTATATATGGGGAGAGCTCTCTGCCCAGGTGTAGCCCCTCAGCTATCAGGTGAGGTGGGTTTGCACCTGCTGATTTGCAGAGCCACACGGCTGTTCTCCAGGCATGGAAATGAGTCTGCCAAACGGGATAGGGCTGCTCAGAGCTTTCAGGGCAGAAATTTTCCCTTTTACCCCTGTGTTTGCCAACTCCAGAGAGTTAGTGCATCATGCTGTCAGTATCCTATGCTGCCCAGCCAGCAGCCCGTGTGGGAGCTGCTCTGCCCTGCTGACTTTGGATCCCTCAGGGTTACACCCCAAGGAAAATAGATTGCACTAATCTAGCCTGCAGATTAGGTGGGCAATTGTGATTTCTTACGTGCAGTTGTAAATCTTGTCGTTTCCTGCCTTGGTCTAGATAAGAAGATAACCCCGAGGCAATGCACCCGCCAACAATATCTAGTCCTTTTGTTACGGAGATGATTGCAGGCACCAAGCACTTTCACCACTTCCCTTTGCCAGGTGGCAGCTCCTCTGGCTCTGGCAGCCCCTAGCCAGGCTGCTCCATGAGGACAGGCTGCCCTGTGCCTGGGGAAGGAGCTCCGGATTCCCAGGCCTCCTGGGGGCCAGCACTCCTTGAGTGCACGCCGCTTCCCACATGCAACCGTGCTTTGCAAGGAAAGCCTTTTATTTTCTCCAACAAAAGATGTGAGGATACGAAAACTGGTTCCACCACTGCTTCTTTTCAGAGCAAGGAGGGAAAACAGTCTGTGTGCAGGAAGACCCGCAGTCTCAGAGCACCTGCACCTGAGCCAAGGCTCAAGCAACCTGGGGGAGCTTTAAAACCCGCTTGACCCCCAGCTCCGATGCATCATCCTACGTCCTCGTCCAGCTCGTCCGCCGTCTCTTCGGTGTCACTTGCGCTGCTGGCGCCCTCAGCGCTCAGTGCCCTCGGTGGGGTGCTCGCCACGCCGCCCGCGGGGCCCACGGCAGCCGGCTCGCCCCACGCACCGAAGAAACCGAGCAGGAAACCCTGATGTCATGTCTAGTAAAAAATCAAAAAGCACCTTGTTTAAAGCAGAGAGATCAGATGAGATCATCACAAGCTTTAACTATTCTATTTTTTTGGCAYGCCACCTACTTATCTGGGAGACGCTGTAAGCGGATATTGTAAAGGTTACATAAAATGAAAACAGAGTAGTCASGCATTCCTCTGCCCTTCATTTGTTTTGGCAAATCGACCTCCCTTTTGCAAAACATGACGGAGGCATCGTTTTCTGTGGCAGAACATCATGTACAAGCAGGGCCGAGAGCGGTGCCCAAATTCGCAGGGGAAAGTTTAGACACCRGGGAGAGAAGCCCTGATTTATGCTGTGTGGATGTGCAGATGTCCCCACGTACCGTCTCRGTGCCCGCAGAAGGCAAAAGCCAAYGGAGGAAAGTGTTAGCTMTCGCGCAGCTACGCGCCTTGTGGCACCGCGTGTATTTTTATTGCAGGCTGTGTTTTACCTGGGCACCCCAAAAGAGGCAGAATGTCACTTTTTCCACGTGGTCTCGACCAAGGTGAGACGGGCTGCGGAGCACACGGGGCCGGGCACCGCTGCTGCGCCTTGGTGGCCTCTTTGAGCAGGGCTGGCTTCTCCAGAGCTTGTGTTGGCTCAGCTTGTCCTTTGGTTAGGTTCAAAGTAACCGTCTTCCTCCAACRCACCTACAACATAAAATTGCTTTTCTTCTCATTGCTTTAATTAGCTCCAATCAAACTTCAAAAGAAGATATGAAGAGCGCTATGGTTTGCACAGCCTCCAATGCTAAGCCTGTAGAGAGGCAGCTCTAGCAAATGCCAGTGCTCCTGCTCCTGGTGCCTTTCCGGAGCCGTGTCCCACCTGACAAGGACATTCACACCCTGCAACTGCCCCTTTTCCAGATCTTCTCTCTCCAAGGCAGCCCTTATACRTCCAAGTCCATGCTTGGCTTCGTCTTGATCATTTTGATCAGTTCTGTTTTAAAGACAAAAGTGACTTACAAGCTCTAGATTTGAAAGCCTATAGTTAGATTCTGGTAGGTAGGAATTCAGCTRAACTACTTGATTTTCAGAAATCCTGAGCTTGCCTTGCCTGGGAAACAGGGTCATACCCTAGGTAACTTTACATGTACTGAAGGGTTTCATTCCAGGCTCCTGTCTCCTGTTTTGGGGCTGGACTTGCAGCTGAAGGCAATGCACTTCTTCCTCCTTTCTGCATGGATCTGCTGAATAGGCAGACCCAATGCATTTCTTCTGTGCACAGAAAGAAGTTGGTTWAGGYGATAGGCACGTGCACACACTCTCGAGGCAAAAGAGTGCGAATCAGGGTCTCCTGGGGTTCTCTGGATTAAATTCCATTTGAAAGAAGAAGAAAATAGATAGGACTTGGGCAATCCTTCACCTGTTTTATTGTGTTTGGGCAATCCTTGCCAAGTTTACTCACATGTGCTAGGAGTTAGGAATTGCAAATTGCTGTGGTTACTGTAGCTTTCTACAGTTTCTTTTATTTACAAATGCAGCTATACTGTAAATGTAAGTAATATTTACAACTTGCTACTGCATCTAACTCAAGGGTATGAGATGCAGGAGCAGTTGTGATAAAAGCCAAAATTAATGAACGCCTACTAAACTGCACGTTGGTTTTCCAGAAGAAACGAGCTCAAGCTCAACACACACTTCCTAAATTACCAGCAAGGAACCGAGGAAAGGAGGAAATAAGCACAGCCACTGAACAAAGCTACCGGTGAGGCAGCTTTGCAGCCTGGCTCTAAGCCCCTGCTTAAAGTCCATCCCACCCCTTCCTCAGCGCTTGCGGTGAGGACCAGCAAGGAGGGCTCGTCCCCCAAACGCAGCAGATTTCCCCGCTCCGAGGAGGATGCACACCCAGAGCGCTGCAGGGCTTTCCCCACTTGGGATCATTTCTGTTGCAAAATTCACACCCTCAAAGAAGTCATTCAGGCCGTAGTGGTACAAGGCACCGCTACGCCAGGAAGGAGGAGAAACGGAAGATCATCGAGTCAGATGTTTTTTCCCAAAGCCTTTGGGATGGTGGGAGCGAGCAGCAGAAGTCAGTTCGCAGTAACAGCTAATGAAACACTACACCCTTCATGGGAAATTCAGAATCACATGAATTACAGAATGGTTTCTTGTTTTTATTTCTGGATGGATTTTGTTTGTTTGTTTTCACTACACCTTGCCCAAACGCCCACGCTGGCAGGGCACATACAGCAGCTCGTCAGGCTCTGCTGGATGCCTCCTTTTGGGCCCACTGCCCTCTATCCACATCCACAGTCTCAGAAACGACCTCCAGAGCCATATCCTCAGGCAGGGATGTAAGGACAGAGAGCAGCCGCCAAGCCTAGCCTAGCCCATATTAGGCAGGACTCACTGGAGCCGGCTGTAGCAGAGCAGCCCTGCCACCTCTGCGGAGCCCTGCAGATGCGGGGAGCACGCGGCAGGGAGGGCCGGGCGAGCGCGCGACGTGTGCGCCCCGGCATCCTGTTTTCTCAGGAAATTTCCACACACGCAGCAAGGTCAGGCAAACAGCGAGCGCCGCGCGCCCGCYGGGCCCTCCTGCATCAGCACGTTCAAAGGTCCAGCGCGGGGTTTTTTCCCCCGTTTTTCAGAACCTGCCAGCGTGTTAGCTCACGGGCYGCGGGGCAAGCGCAGACTCACTTCTGGGGCTGAGGGAAGGCGACCCCTTTTTCTGGTATTAATCCCACCCTGCGCCGCCTGTGTGGGGCCTGAGYATGTGAATTGGGCCATTTTCTCTCTGCCCCAAGCCCGTGCAGTGTGTTTTCAGATAAAAGCCGATACTCATGCAAGATCATCTTTGGCCCAGCTGCTTCCTAGGTGCCCTCAGCTCTGGATTAACCAGACAATGTTAAAACATTCGACGTGCGTATCTTCACGTGGCAAATACAAGCTTCTGTATTTGAGATAAACCTTTGACGGACAGGTGGCTTCCCAGGACTTAATGGACACAGGAAAATATTTAACTAGCCCACGTAAACGTCAGCAAGGCATGAGAAGGGTGCACCTCGGAAGGCAGRTTGGGCGCACAGTAAACAGGCCCCACAGTACGAGGAGCGACCGCTGACACGCTGGGCTGCCCAACCTGGCCCAGGCTCTGCAGCTTGGCCCTCCGGCACTTCCAGCAGCTCTTCAGCTCCCATCTTCCCAGGATTTGCTTGGGAGCACATTGGGCCGGCACCAGCCTGCTCAGGAGATGCCTGAGGTTGCATTCCCAGGACTCCCGCGCAGGAGCTACGTTGGGGCAGACTTCCACCTGGAGCAGTGCTTAAAAAGCCAAATAAAGGTAGTGAAAGCGCGGAGCAAACATCGCGTACGGTGACTACGTGCAGGGCCAGGCCGGAGCGGCGCGCGGCGTGGGGCGTGCGGAAGGCGCGAGAAGCGGCACAGCGTGTGGGGCTGCCGGGCCCACAGCCGCCCGGCTCCGGTTGCAGCTCTCAAAGGCAGCAGGAAATTGGCAGCCCCCTAAGCTGCTCCCGACCATTGACGGCAACAAAGGCCACATTCCTGYCCAAATACGCCCCATTAGAAACCCCGGGCGCATCTATTTAGCAGGGCCCGCGGAATAAATCTGGCGAAATAAAGGATTTTAATTAGACGGCCATAGGATGTGGCTGTGGTCTCGGGCCCCTGCGAGTAACRTGTATTAGTCAGACTTCGACCAAGGACCCCAGGTAGCCAAAAGCCGGAGCGCAGCATGGCCCCTGCTTTCAAATATGATTTTAACAAACTGTGAATGTGGAAGTGCTCCTGAGGGGCCGGCTGGATGATGCTGCACAGGGCGCTGCACCCGAGGCCTTTTAAACTTGTCCCTCCGCTAGTTTTCCCCCCGAGAGCACTGAGACGTGTGGGGAGCCGTGGGGCCCGCTCGCCCCATCCAGGCCGTGGCGCGTCCCCACGGCCCGTCCGTACGCAGAGCCCTGCGCGGGGCTGCCCGCTCCGCCACCCGCGGCATCCGAGGAGCGGGGAGCRCCCGAGGGAACACGGCGGCTGTTGGCACCCGCGATGTGGGGTGACCCGGAGCCTACCCGCAGGAACGGCAGGCCGGCCCCACGCCGGCCCCCACGCCATCCACGCTGCCAGCGCCGCTGGGCCGAGAGGCACAAGGCCCAACGTGGGGAACAGAGCCACAAACTCCATTTTGGAAAATATGCCAAAATGCACGCAGCAAATACCAAGAGACTTCTTGCATGTCCGCCACTTGCTCCTAGGGACAGCCCTCAACTCCTCAACGCAGCAGAATTCATGCGTTTCCCGATATACTCGCATTTCCTTACGGAGCTGTGCAGATGCTCAAGGCACAGGGACTGATGAACTTGGGCAAAGCACATCTAGATTTGAACTTGAGGTCAAAACAAGGCCCAAGATCCAGCTATGCCACATTTCCCCCTCGGTAGCACCCCCAGCGATTCCGAAGGGATGTAAAGCACACAGACACGTAGGAAACGAGCAGACACGCCAGCAGAGCACTGGCGCAGATGGCTCACACACAGCCGTAGCATTTTGCATCCAGAAGAACTTTTCATGCTGTCTAAAATAACAAACAGCAAATATTATCTGAAAAGATGTCAGATAAACAAAAGTTGCTAAGGAAATGGAAAGACACAGGGTTTAGCCACGTGCAGCTGGGAAACGTTACATTAAAAATAAGGTACCATGCACCAGGCTGGAAAAAAGCCATTGTGTTTCCTCCCAGGCAACTGGTTTAATTGTGTTTTGTRTTAAAGTGCCCTGCTCATAAAGCTCGCAGATCTAAAAGCATCAAGTCCAATTCCAGTGATGTGAGTGGTGGCACTTTGAGGAGGATCTTTCCTGGGCCAGGTAACTTCAGCTCTTCCTCATGCTTGAAGCGTGGAGGAGGCATCTCCAGAGCRGTGGAAGGAGTGTTGCGTGGGTTGGAGATTAAAGGATTCTCCGGGAGACAGGTAATTTCATTTAAAACATCCATTAAGTAATTAATCAGTTATGATGATATGTAGTTTTTGCATATGTTTAGGGTATTCCAGCTATAGAGTAGCTTGGTTTTGCACTCTATTTGCCCTTTTATTTTCTTGTTTTATAAACTGAGAACATCTTGACACTTCATGACACTTACAAGACTTACGACCTAGACAGTGCACTAGCCAACCCAATTAAGAAAAACAGTAAAAAAGAAAAAAAAAAAGAAAGAAAAAAAGAAAAACCCCTGCCACTGGTGGAACAAATGCACGTTTCTCTTCTTCAGACCAGCAGCTCACAATAATTAGAGCATGGGGTTCAATGCAGCCAGTTTTGCAATACGCCTGACAGTGTCATCCGCCTGGAAGTACACGGCTTCTCTTCCTTTCACCCTCCCGTTTTAGGCTTCATTCCAAAGGCACCTATCTAGCAGCAACATCGAAGGATCTGGGTGGATTCGTGGTGCTTTAGAAGCAAAAGGCAAAAGTAAATAAGCCTGATTTCACTCCTGTGTGTTTAAATCCACAAAATAAAATCAAGGTGTGGCCCATGGGGATTATGCCCCGTATTTACATTTACTTACTGCTACCTGAGCAAGTGCCTCCTCTGAAGACACTTCCACCTGGAGAAGCAGGAGCAGCAGCTCCAAGCACTACCCTGGGAACACTAGCAGCATCGCCTCTCTTTGCCACAAATATGAACCAAGCACTAAATAGCACCATGAGAATGAAGCCTCCGTGGCTGCTGGCGGGGTGGCCCATGCTGAGAGGGCTTCAATCCTCTTGTCACGTGGCCGGGTAACTGCGCTCGAGGGAAGAAGCCCTTGGTGGCTCTTGTCAGTGAAAGGAAACAGGTGAGAATTTACTCCACCTAGAAAGGACAGGCGTGCGAGCGTCGCTTCGAGAGAGACACCTCCAGTGCCAACAACCACCGTAGGAGCATTTTGTAGGGCCTGATAAACCCGGCCACGCCACAGTAGAAACATATATAGAGAGAGAGAGAGAAAGGGGAGGTTTTTGGAAGCACCACCATGACTGACACAAAGCTCTAGTTGGAAGAAAGCCAGCAATTAATCGCGATTCTTCAAAATTTGGAGGCAATTTTTGTAGAACAAGACAGACAGAGGTATCACCATGTCCTGAACATTCCTCCGGGACAAAAATCTATTACTTCATATAAGTCCATTAAAACACTTCATAGAGGCCTTTTAATCCCTCTTAGCAGCTTTGCTTTATCACAGGCAGAGGAGCTAATCCTCTCCCACCTGTCCTTGCAATACAGAACCATGAAGAGGGGCGAGATGCTCCACACTTGCTAGGCATTATCCCGCTTGGGATAACTCTAGTTCCGGCGCTGGGATTATCGTGACGGAGCTGCCCTCAGAAACTCATCCTGGCTCTGTGTTCCTCCAGGGGGAACCCGGAATCTCTTTGCCATCCGTTCCCAAAGCTCAGCCCTTACAACAAGCTTTGCGACACTCCTTAAAGCCCAGGTTTGAGCTCTGCCTTGCGGGGGCTTCCTCCTTGCCCTCTGTCCCAGGCCTTGCTGCGCCCACACAACCAGAGGGCAGACCTGCTCGGATCTGTCGGAGCTGACACAACTGGGTTAGCAGGTCGGCTGCACTCTCCTACTTACCGTGCAACCATTTCATGCTGGGTATTCTTTAGCTTTATTCAAAATGCAATCTCCAAGCCACCTAAAATCAAGCAAATAATCTAAAATCACCTAAATAATCTGTTTTAACAGCAGCTGGACCCTTTACACTTCGGCTCTGCACAGATAGGCAGAGAGGCACCTTGAGCTACCCCTTGACAAAGTCTGGCTTCCAGAACCAAGATCCTCACTTCCCTCTCCTAATCCTTAAAAATCCCATTAGCATTTGGCAAACCTACTCATCCCCTTAGAACAAAACTCAGTACATCTGGGTGATCGTTCCCCGCTACTAGTTTTCAGTGCAGCAGAGTCCTATGGAGTATCAGCAGGAGCAGAGGGATTGCAAGGGCTACCAAGGACACATTGAATGCAGAGGACCGCAGGAGGAGAACGCCTCCGCGTTGGGACCGGGGATGGCTCTTCCACACTCCTGTCGGCTTGCTCAGCTCTCTTCCCCTAGAAGGGCATTTCTGCACCTTCGTGCCAGCCTGCCTGTCGCCACGCCACAAAATCCAGCAACCCAAAAGAAGCCACCATCCTTTCCATAAGCAAGAGACAACATCCAAACGGAAAGCAGCAAAAAGCTACTGCTCTCCCTCCTCTGCTGCTGCCCAGAGGCCTGGGGCAACGTACAGCAACCAGAGAGCACTTTACGCCTACAGGGAGCTCTTAGTTTCTAATTTCTGTGCTAAAGAAGAGATCATTAAGGGTAAATTTGCCTCACGAGAAAGTGAAACATTATTCCTCTAGTTAGTAAAAAGAGCATTAATTAATCTGACACACTTGAACAAGTGCTTTTTTGTTAAGAAACCCCAATCAGTGGTCACAGGCTAGTGTGACACCACCAAGAGTGGAAGAAGTTAATGGCAATTAACTAACAGTCCCTCAGGTTTTTCCCACTTCTGCTAAGGAACAAACCAAAGCAGCAAACAAACGCCGAGGCAGTCGGGAGAGCGGGCGGGCGGGCAGGAGCACCCAGGGGCTCTGCTGAAGGAGGGCGGCCGAGGAGGGCAGGAGGAGGGCAGCCCACAGGGCGCTCGTTGTGCGCCGCGGCGGGAAGCAGCAGCGGCCGGCGCACAGGTCTCGGCTTCAGCACACGCACACTGCCCTTGGAAAGCACCTTTTACACACACATATACACACACACATATAGAAAATACAGAAGCAAACTGCTGGGCGGAGGTGAGCGCGAGGGCCCAGCCTGCTCGTGCCACCCGCGCGCCCGGGGTTAGCGCGGCAGCCCCGAGCGGCCAGACATCCACATACAGCGGGTTTGCGCTGCGCAGGCACAGGGGAGTTTCTCTAGGAACACTTGCTCCTCACTCCATGTAAAACTGCATCCATTTAGTAACCAGGTTACTTGAAACCAAGCTGTGCTGGCAAGCCTTGACCCACGTAAAGGGAAGAATGAGACTTCCCCGTTCGTCCTAAGGAACCTTTTTTTGCTGAATATGTCTTAAGCAGCCACAAGTAGCTGTGACACCCAGGTCACCCGAAACAGCCTTGACATTAAGGACAGAAAGTAGCCCCATTAACACCAGGGAAACGTACAGAGGAAAAAACCACCAAGAACAGGCGCCCAGACACACGCTCCCAAGCACCAACCTCCAAAGCCAGCAAACTACGGCAACACAGCTATTACTTTTCATCCTGCCTCTTGCTTTTTATTTAGGTTTGAACCCAGTAAGCTCATTACTTCAGTAGCTGTACCATTTAACTAGCCAAGATGCTATATATAGGAAACTCAAAATAAATTCACATGTTAATTTGGTATTCTTTAGGAAACAACAGCTTCAAGTTGAGGCTGCTTCCTCCTCCTCCTCCTCCTCCACAGCTGTTCTTGCAAATACTTTGGTAAAAAAAAAAATAAGGCCTACGTCTCTTGACACTCTCAACCCCAGTGCATACATTCAGTTGCATTAAATACTAGACCAGTGGTTTTAAAGTATACATATGAAGTTGTTTGCTACCTGACTGATGACAAGAGGAAAAAACCCCAACCTTTAGCACTATGCAGCTCACAACCTGTCAGTATAATGAAGAACTCAAGAGGCATTTTCATTAATTAATATATTTTCTGCATTATAGTTAACATATGTACTTTCTTTGTGTCATCCTTATTTCGTTAAGTATTGATATTTTGTTATATTCAGACAAGAGTACATTTTCAGTCTTTTGCAATAAATATCATAAAATAATAGAGATTCACATAATAAATATTCTTTACAATAAAAAAAGTTTTAACAGACTTTTGTCTTAAAAATAGTCAGAATTCAACTTTGTGTTTTATACATAAAATATACAAAAAAGGACCACAATCTGTGGCTAAGGCAATAAAACAGAGAACAGAATTATAAAGTACAGAGCAGAGTTAAAACGCACTAAACTCCAAGGGTCACAAGAAACATTTAGGCAACTGAATGACACCTGAAGACTGCTTGGATACATGGACACCACAGCTTTGATGTGGACGTGATACCAAGGGACACGGGAAAGGAGCAAGAGGATGGAGTGAGCCACATCCTTCAAAGATCTGGCAGCAGGGAGCGAGTACGTTGCAGTCCTAACGTCTCCAATGTGAAGACCTACACAGTGAGGACAAAACTCAAAAACCATTGGAAGGAGAAAAGGGCAGGCAGGGGAGGCGCACCCAGGTACATCTCAGGACTGAGAATATTCCAAAGGCTAGGACAACACAGGAGGGGAAAACGAGAGGGGGAAAAAAAAAATATCAAAAAAAAAAAGGCAGGTTGCTTGCAAAGGAGTCAGGCCTTGCTTTTGGTAAAGCCTTTATTTTGCATCCCGGTCCAGAAAGGACACAAATAAAATGTTGCTTCACAATGCAGCTCACTCATGAAACACTTGCTCCTTGGAACCCCAGAGGTTAAAAGGACCAAAAACCAACCCAAACCTTAACAAGAACTGCTGAGAACAAAAAACATCTTTGGGAAGATATTCATAGAGCAAGAGGGCGCAGAGGAGCCCAGGGAGCCCTCGCTGCCTCTTTCAGGAGTGGCTGAGTTGCCGACTCGGGAAGCCCTGCCAAACTGGGAAGGCAGATGCGGGTACCAGGGAGCCGCAGTGACTACGGGAAACGCTCCACACTCAGCCGAGATGACAGCAAGAGAGCAACAGGAGGAGAGCAGAGATGCAAAGGGAAGAACTCAAGTAGGAGGAATGGGGCAGAAAGAACGGAAAGCGTGAGAAGAACCAAACAAAACGGCTACAACCTGAAAGTAAGAGCTGGAGGAAGCAAACCTCCCTCCCAGAATCATGAGGGCTTGCCCTGGCCCCGCGAGGGGCAGCTCTCCAGTTTGCAATAGACAGTGTTGGAGTTCTTGCACCGGCAGCCGGGGCGATTGACGCGGTCGTAGCACCCTCGGCACAGTTTTAGGCATCCTTTTGCAGGYGGGTAGCACAGCAAGCAAGGCAAAAACAAGGACATGGCTCCCATGCACAGGTACCTAGAACAGCAATGTGCCTGGGAGCAGGAGCAGGGATTATCCGCATAGGAGTCCCCTTCGTCGTCGTTGGAGCAGTGGTAGAAGACCCCCTTRACGAGGCACATGCACGTGCCGTACTCCACCATGCTCTCCGCGGAGCACAGGCACTGCCGGTTGCAGGCCAAGCACGAGGGCAGGGCCCTGGGCGCCGTGCACTCGCCGCACTTGCACTTCCCACACTGCTCGCAGATGAACTTGTGCTGCGTCACRTCCTCTTTCAAGGGACCCTTCAGATCATCGACGATGAGAGAGGACTGCTTGGGCTGCGTCCGGATCGTCCGGTCCGATCGGTGGCCCGAGCCCGGCCTGGACGGAGGCGAGCGCCCCAGCAGCCCCTGCTCCGACGAGGCGCTGCTGTTGCTCCCCGAGCTCGCCGCGCTGCCCGTGCTCGTCGACCTGCTCAAGACAGGCGCCCTGGCATGATGCTGCTGCGCCGCGTGGCCCCCGTGGCTGGGTCTGTGTTCGTAATTATTATTCACATTAATTGGTATAATTTCGTGAGTTCTCTCATGCTTCTCTTGCCTCGGTGCTGTCCGCGGCCCTGACTTTTTCACCACAGATGGCCCCTCGGTGTACTCGTTGCTGCCCCGGATCGCCTTGATCTGGTCCAGTGACAAAATAGTGGTCGCCTGGCTCTCGCGCTCATAGTCCAACCGCTGCCGGCTGTCCAAGGAGGGCTGCTGGATCACCACCAACGAACCACCGCTGCCATGCTGACCTTGGGGCTCCATCTGTAGTGAGCTCTACTTCTGGCACTCAGTGGGAACCTGGCATGCATCTGAAATCCTGCAAGGGCAATAAAAAGACAGCATAAATAAACACGGTGTGTCTGCATGTACACATGCACGCGTGCGTATGCAAGATCAAGGGCAAAAGAGGAATAAAGAGCAGGATGTTTCGGGAAACCAGGAATGATCTGGCRAACCACAAGCTGCCCTAGCCACCTGGTACCCATCTCTTTCGGCAGGGGATTACGGTGACACGGAGGATCTGGCCAAAGTCCAGTAACGGGGGGTGTCCTGGGATAGCATCAGAGATGAGGAATGCAAAAGGACGCCCTATGCTATTCAAAAAGTAGTAAAAAACTAATAAAAACCAGTATTATCCCGTGTGCTTGCTTGGCAAGCTGTGGGAAGCTACGTGCCTCTCACTTGCTACCGATCTCAACATCTAATCAGCAACAGCGATTCCGAGTGGCCCCAAAGCAAAGCCAGAAACGGGAAAGAACATCRGGATCATACTCTGCATGGCACAAGAGCAGGACACACACAACTCCTACAATAACTCCCGTATTTGCAACATCGGAACRCTATCAAGACTGGCCTCCTAGTGCACCTCGACCACGTCTCCTTTCTAAAGGGAAACTCATGCGYTGCAGAGACTCAAACTAAGCTCTGTTGAGAAAACAAGACCTTGTCTGCAAGAAAGCTGCAGAGTATCCAAATCTAACGCTCTCCTTGTGAAAATAAAACATGGATGTAAACAGAAGCAGGTTTTCAGGTATTTTCTGACCACGGGGCAGGGCGTGAAGGAAGGAAAGAACAAGATAAAGCAGATATCAGATAAGTGCCTTTATACATCCTCAGGTAACTTCTAAATAACAGGTGACCCAAAAGGAAAAAATAAACAAAACAAAAAGGCACTCAAAACAACAACAAGCAAATCTTTGTCACAAGATAAACTAYATTGAATAAAAGTTCCTCAAATGCGACATCCTTTATTCCGTTCAGCTACTGACATAAGGATTACACGCTGACCTGGACAACGCAGCAGTGACAGCCCTGTACATACGCAGAAACACAAGGGAGACTATCCAACGCGTGCACCTTGCCTGCAGAGAACCAGAAAGCCAAACTACTAAACGTACTAGATGCGCCTGTCCCCCAGGGGTAACGCGCGCTTGCGTGACGGGAAGGACGAGCGCTGGCCATCGGGCAATTCCCAACAAATCATGGAGCGGCGGCACCGAGCGCGTCCTGGCTGCCGGGCGCGCGCCTGGCACGGAGCTGGTCCCACCTCGCGGGGACAGCGAGGGACGAGCGCAAGGACGGCTCCTTGGCGGGCGACACTGCGAGGCTCGCTCCCTCCCAACGCCCATGGGGGCTCGCTGCCACCACGCAAACGTCTCCSTGGGGACCCACGGGCCAGGTGCCCAGTGCCACCTGCACGCGCGGCACCGGGGCCGCGAGATACGAACCCGATAACCAAGCTGGGCTCCGTGGCGTGCCGGGCACGCACAGGGCTCCAGCGCCGCGCCGGCGCGCACGSCGGCAGGGAAAACGGGGGAAARWAAATAAATAAATAAATAAATAAAKAGAAAAGGACGGAAAGTGGCTGTTCCTGCCGCCCCGCACCCCAGCGCCGCGAGGCACCTCGGCGGCGGCAGCGCGGCGCCCTCTGCGCGGGGCTGCGGCGCGAGCGGCTGCCCGCGAGGAAG